GAATCTGGGTCTGGTCGTCTTGAAAACCCGCTGGCTTCATGCCTGTCTTTACGCCTCCTGAAATGACAAAGTTGTAGATGTAACCAACCGTCTTATTAAATAAGAAACACAGAACCAATGTAAAAGAGAAAGCCGAGAGGTCAGAGCTCAGAGCTAAAATCTCACCCTTCCTCCTGCGGTGGTCCTAGCTTCCCGAAAGAGAGCTATTTCCTGTGTGTCTGTCTTTTCATAGTATTTTGTTCTGCCTTCTCAATGGTTGTAAACCCAAACACGTGACTTCCTCGTCACTGTCTGTATGTACAGCCCTCTAGGTCTTAAAGGTGTATGTCTCTAATGCTGGCTGTATCCCTGAACACAAAGAGATCTATGGGATTAAAGACGCTCTGTCTATGGCTCTAATAGCTCTGACCCCCGGGCAACTTTATTTATTAACATACAATTAAAATAACATTTCAGTACAATTAGAATACCACCACACAAAGTAATGAATGTTCATCACAGATAAATTAGTATAGAATATGAAGCTTAAATATCATTGTGACTGCCTCTTGGCAAAAGAAAAAAAAAGGAAGAAAGAAAAATGTTCTTTGAGAATAAATTGTTAATTTATGTATATATGCTGGGGATGTATACAACAGAAAAAATTCAAAACAAAAAATGAACAAGTTGAACAGATACATGAGGGTAATCCATAGGAAGAAAATTTTGACATCTAACTTTTTATTTTAAGGCATATGGATATACAGTTTAATGATCTCAATTTTCTAGGATACACATTCACTCATTTAAAAAAAACCCATCCAATAAAAAGAACTGCCATATTAGTATAGAATGCATATTAATTAACAAAATTAAACATTTTGATAAGCTAGGTATGGTGGCTCATGTCTTTAATCCCTGCACTCAGGAGGCACAGGCAGGCAGATAGATCTCTTTGAGTTTGAAGCCAGCCAGGGCTACATGAGACCCTTGGCTCAAAAAAAAAAAAAAAAAAATAAGAAATAAATCCTATTGCCTATAATTTTAAAAAGCAAATGAAAAATACATGTACTTTCGCCTGGCTCAAAAATAGGAAAGGGAACCAGATAGAGTGGCACACACCTTTAACCCCAAAACTTGGGAGGCAGAGGCAGAGGCAGGCAGGATATCTTGAGTTCCAAGCCAGACTGGTCTACAGAGTGAGTTCTAGGACAGCCAGAGCTACACACAGAAACCCTGTCTCAAAAAACCAAAACCAAAAAGTTGTAAGGAATAACACTAACATCGTTGTGATTCTAGCAGACACAGCCCTGCAACAATTTCTGTTGTGTTTTGGTTTTCAGACAGGGTCTCATGTAGCCCTGGTTAGCCTTGAACTCTGCAGGTGGATTCTAGGAATGCACCACCACACCAGGCGGGTTTTCTAGGTTACTTTTCTAATTCATGCAAAGTCTACACTTTAAGGTTTTCAGGGTCTATAAATAAACTTTTTCAAATGCACTGTCCCAGGGGGATGGAACAATTACAAATTCTTAAAAACAAGTCAACTCCTGCTGATTGAAACCCTAACTCCAGCCCTAGAGACAACACTGAAACCCACTCATATGCACATCAACTGCAAGACATCTGTTCCCAAATCAAGATGAAGCTTACTTTTCTCTTTCTTCTATTTCCTTCTGTCTTTCCAGCTCCCGCTGCCTCTGTCGCTCTTCTCTTTGGCGCTTTACTACTTTCTCATAATCATTAGGAAACATAGGGTCATATTCATCAGCTAACGGGATCAGAACCTCCCCTGCAGAAAACCCACTAGGGACAGGGTCCTGAGGAAGAAAAACATCCAGGTGAGTACCATCTTCATATCCTGCAGGGTTATGGTCAAAGGATGACCAAAGAGAGGTCATGCAGGTTATCTTCTATTTCCTAGATGAGTAACAATCATAGCATACTACATCTCACCAGGTGGTGGCACAACCTGGCAATCAAGCAAAGCTTAATTATTCACAGAAAAGTACTGCAGAACTTAAAGACTAAAACAATTCATGAACACAATCATTTCTTAAATGTTTTTTTTTAAGATTTATTTATTTATTATCTATACAGTATTCTGTCTGCATGTGTCCCTGCAGGCCAGAAGAGGGCACCAGATCTCATTACAAGTGGTTGTGAGCCACCATGTGGTTGGTGGGAATTGAACTCAGGTCCTCTGGAAGAGCAGTCAGTGCTCTTAACCACTGAGCCATCTCTCCAGCCCTTAAATGAGTTTTAAACTACCACAGTCACCATTTGAATGACATCTGTAGAAAAATACATGTGAAAATGGATTATCATTTACTACATAGTGTCTTGCTCCCTCCAGATAGTATCTCACAGAGCCACAAACTAGACGCATAGCCAAGGATGATGACCCCGAACAAGTCCCAATCCCCCTGTAAATCCTGGAGCCCTGTCCTATTAAAGACATGCAGCACTATGCTCTATTTTTATTTTTAATGCTTTTCTCTAAAATAAGCTCTGACACTGTTAATAGACAACAATAGAAACAATTATATAGTTTACACCAATAGAATTAAATTATAGGTAATCTACCAAGGCAATACACTAAAGCCATTAAAAATGACTACATAGGGGCTGGAGATATGGCTCAGTAATTAACTGCACTGACTGCTCTGCCAACAAACCCAGGTTTGAGTCCCATCATGTGACATGGTGGGTCACAACTATCTGTAACTCCAGTCCTGGGGGATGTGTCCCCACAGGCCACAGGTACACATGTAGTACAGGTAAAACACTCAAACACACAAAAAGATTTTTAAATATTTCTGTATTTTTGACAGAGATGGATGAACACTCACTGAGATATTAAGAAAAGCAAACTAGAGAACAGAAGGTAGAACTCATACAAGAAAGGCAATCTAAAATTACGTAACTTTTAATGCGTGGAGAGTACGGTTGAAAAGATACCTGCTTTTCTCTTTTGCCCATCTTTCACTCCTGATGAATGATTTACCTAAAACTATTTTAGGTAATAAAAGTTTTGATGGTGACCAAGTAGACTTGAGCTGCAAAGGATACTAGCTTTCAATGGCTCAGGGGTTGAGAGTGCTTACTGCTCTACTAGAGGACCATGCTTTGGTCCTCAGCACCCACACCAGGGTTCACAAATGTTTAAGTCCAGCCCTAAGAGATCTAATGTCTTCTGGCCTCCATGGGTACCAGCACATACATGTGCACAATACACATACGTACATATGTACACACACACACACACACACACACACACACACACAGTCTTTAAAGAAAAAACCAGAGGAACATATGTGTGAAATAAAGAAAAGAGGAAATGCAACAAGAAAGCCGCAGGTGTGTGCAGGCTTACCTTCAGCCCAGCTGCTACATGAGGGGGCGTGTCTACGATCTGCCGGTCGTCTGAGGAGCCTCCTCGCTTTAGGTCGATGACTGGGGCAAGGACTGTACTTTGTTTTGTCCGTTGGCTCTGACATCAGAAACAAGAGAAACACACCCATGTTCCAAATTAAAATTCCTCCTACTTGCAACAGACATTTTTTCTGGTCTCTGTAACGAACCTGCAGCTGTGATAAAATCACAGTCTGAAACAGTAACAGTCTTTAATACAGTGTTTTCTGAGGCAGGGTCCTATGTAACCCAGGCTGGCCCCCTGTGCCCTATGTAGCTGATGATGAACTTGGACTCCTGACCCACCTCACTCCACATCACTGAGTGTTGGCATATACCCAGACCCAGTTTATACAGTGCTGGGGATTGAACACAGGACTTCCTGAAGACTGGGCAAACACTCTCTGAGCTATATCTTCATCCTTTTTGATCTTTCTTTCAAAGCACAGATTTCCTCCACTTTTCTATAAAGTTTACAGTAACTATGACCACTTTCTGGTTAGCCTTAACTTCTCTATCTCCCGAGTACAAGCTCCTACCCTACTTCTTTTAGTATGACCTTACTCTGGCCAATTAAAATTACTTATATACTCACTTGGGTGTGTACACATGTGTGTTTACATGCAAACACCACGTGTCTGTATGGAGGCCAGAGGACAACAGAGGGACTCGGGTCTCTCCTTCCACCATAGGGTTCTAGTCAAACTCCTGTCATCAGGCTTGACTCACTGAGCATTCTCACCATCCTCAAAGTGCACTTTAACCAGCTGGTCTTTGGTTTTTCAAACAAAGACCCTGCCCATTTCCAAAATGTACTTCTGGTCTGTGGGTGTCTTAATCTTAGCAGTCCCTCTTCCCCGGCACCATCACCATCTTTGTTTTCTCCCTGGGATGTTGGTCTTTCGAACACTGCTGCTTCTAGACAGTTAACTTAGACCTCAGTGACCCAGCATTTCTAAAATCTGGTAAGCTTATAGGCAAGAATGTGTCTCACCGTGAGCTGGTGGACTACATGAGTTCTCAGGTTGCTAAGAGGCCACGGCTGATCAAATGGAATGACTGGGATCATGAAAGTTTAACTTCTCATTCTTACCATTTAAAGTGGTACAAACTTTCATTCCTATCAGGAAGTCTGAGCTCTCTGGACTTTAACAGTGCTTTAAGCAAACAACATGCCATGCAGGTATCAAATGCAAAATCACAACATAAACCCTGAAGTTTCCACAATAGGGGTTAGGATAATCATTTATTTGCTCATTTTTAAATTTAATAGGTATTTTCAAAAATGAAATACAAATGAGACCACAGGTTCATCTTTCAGGTACAGGTAAAATTTTTCTTTACCAAACATTTTTGACAAGTTTGATTAGTACTCTGAGAAACTCCCTGAGGAGCCCAAGAGAAACAACATAATGTAGTTTCACTTCTTCATAAGAAATTAAGCACAGAGAGAATCCTCAAAATTCATGTCAGAAGGTTATCAGACATGATTTTTTTAAAAGTAATGTTCCATTTTGACCGATTAAAATCTATCTGCAGTATCAAGATATTTGCTAATAGCTGACAATAAAATATCTGGATAGCTAGGTGTGATGGCGCACATTTTTAATCTCAGCACTTGTAAAGCAGAAGTGGATGGATCCTTGAGTTCCAGGACAGCCAGGGCTACACAGAGAAACTCTGCCTTGAAAAACATATAATATATACATATACATTCATATATAAGTGTATATATCAATAAGCAAAAATAAATATAAATTAAAAAGACTGAGGCAGAAAACCAACATCCTAGATTTCATACGAAAATATTAATTTCTTGCTCCTAAACAGCAACTTGTTAAAAACTAACTTTGTATTTTCACACACACAAAAAAAATGTCATTAAACAAACAAACAAAAACCAACATGAGCTGGGGCAGTGATGGTGCACACCTTTAATCCCAGAACTTGGGAGGTAGAGGCAGGCAGACCTCTGTGACTCTGAGGCCAGCCTGGTCTACATACTGAGTTCAGGACAGCCAGGGCTACACAGAGAAACCCTTTCGTCTTCACCAACACTACCAGGCTTTCTGCCACTTCAAACACGTACACAATGTATTCCATCATATTCATCCCTCAACCCCATCACCTTCTCCACCTTCTCCCATTCTCAATGATCCCCCTCCTCTTCTAAGCTAATGTCTAAGATGGTTTTGAACCTATAGATTTGAACCTTTAGTTCATGAACAGATTTATGAGCTGGCTAGATAAAGAAAATGACAAATTAGACATGGCTTAAAAAGTCAGTTATACAGCCGGGCGGCGGTGGCGCACGCCTTTAATCCCAGCACTCGGGAGGCAGAGCCAGGCAGATCTCTGTGAGTTCGAGGCCAGCCTGGGCTACCAAGTGAGTTCCAGGAAAGGCGCAAAGCTACACAGAGAAACCCTGTCTCGAAAAACCAAAAAAAAAAAAAAAAAAGTCAGTTATACATAATCTATAAAACTGGCTTTTTTTTGAAGGCAGGGTCTTATCATATAGCCCAGGCTGATCTCAATCTTCTGGGCATTCCTCCTGCCTCAGCCTCACAAATTCTGGGATTAAAGGTATGTACAGGTATTTTTATCTGGTAAAGACTATTTTGGGGGAGGGAGGTGCTGAGGATTGAACCTGATGACTCACACAAACTAGACAAGCACTCTATACACACACAATTTTAATTTTTGAGTGTTTTGCCAGTGTGCAGTCTATGTACCACATGCATGCCTACAGAGCTCAGAATAGTGTGTCAGATTCCCTGGAGCTGGAGTTAGAGGTGTTTTGTGAGATGCTTAATGTGGGTGCTGGGGTCTGAACTCATTCTCTACAATAAATGCTCTTAATGGACAAGCCATCCCTCCAGCCACCAATGGAGTCATTTCATTAGCAACCCTTCAGGGTCTACTTCCAAAGCAGCTTTTCTAAACCCCTCCACACCTTTTCTCATGCTACACACCAGACTGATACTCCCACCTCCGCCTCCTAAGTGCTGGATTACAAGTGTTGTGCTACCATGTTCAGCCTCAACCTTTATTACTTGCCTCTTTAAGGAGCCACAGTAGAGATACAGTATACATTGTCTGTGTGTCTATACTTCCTACAAGAGCAAGACCTTTACCTAAGAAACAAACACTGAACAAATTATTCTTATTCCTAAAATATACTGCACATTTTAGTTAAGAAACATCCAGTTCACAACTATACCTTCCATATTTTAAGTTTTGTGGTAGCCCACACCTTTAATCCCAGCACTTGGGAGGCAGAGGTGGGTTTCTATGAATTTGAGGCCAGCCTAGTCTAAACAGCCAGCTTCAGGCCATGTATTGAGATCCTGTCTAAAAAACAAAAACAGAAACAAAGAAATAGTGGAATTATTCCAAAGATAATGCTCACGTCTAATGCATATACCACACAGACAAGAACAATTCCCACCTGTAACTATACATGCTGGACATGTTCACAAATATGATGCCCTCTGAGATGTGCACCCTGGATCTGATTATTCTACTAAGCTGCTTCCAAGCTTCCTACAATAAAAACCTAACAATGTACATTCCTGGGACCCTGTCTAGAACCAGAACCACCAGAACATTAGGACTCTAGCTATGAACGAAGCATCTGAAACAAGTTCTCAGTCTCTGACACACTCAAGTCTAGAGCCAGCCTCATGGATAGGAGTTGAGAGGACTGCTTTTCTTCACTCCTACTCCATGAAATAGTTCTGCTGTTCCCAAGAGCCAGCAGAAGGAAAGGAACCTCAGCTCTCCATTCCTCTCTCCATCACTATTTCACATTGACCCAACAAGGAGCCAAAAGAACAAGTTTAAACCAAGGTATTCTCAAGAACTCGAGTGGTAGACTTGCCCACTCCTGCTCTGGCCCGTTTTTACCTTCGCTTGAGTGAGCGCTGCCTTCTTCACCTGAAGCTGGGACTGCAGAAGCTTGAAGTTTTTGGACCAGCCTTCGGTTTTTGAGTCACTGGTCTCCACTCCCAGGTCATCATATAGGGACATCTTTTTGGTTTAATGCTGAAAGAAAGCAAGGACAGAGACTAAATAATATGAAACAGAAGCAAATTTTGAACATCTGTGTGCTAAAATAGTTGCACCATGGACCTGTCATCACAAATGCAGGGTTCTTTCTAATATGCAAAACTATACCCATGAACTATTTTAAAACAGTCCTCTAGAATTAATTTTTCTTTTAAAACTGGTTCTCATGTAGCTCAGGCTGGCCTTGAATTTGTGATTCTTTTAGCTACACCTTCTGAGTGCTGGGAAATACCACTATGTCCAGCCTAGAATTAATTTCTCAACCTAAAATACTGGTGAAGTGATTCATGAGTAAAATCGGTTCTAGAACAATGAAGTAAGATGGAAACTCTACATTTGCGGCATTATTAAGTATAAAGATCAGTTTTAAAACTTTTCATCTCAATGACAGAAAGTAGAAGCCTTATAAAAGCAGTTTTAGGCTGGATCAGCATAGGCAGCTGCTCTTTTATAAAGAAAACATGCAAACCAGGTGTGGTGGTACATGCTTGATATCCCAGCACTTGGGAGGTGGAGACTGGTGGATCTAGAACACAATGTCATCTAAACTACATAAGGAGTTATTTGAGGTTAGCCTAGGACACATGAAACCCTGTCTTAAATAAATAATTAAGAACCACATAGTCACAGAAAAAAAAGGGTGGTAAAATGATTCTGTGGTTTCATAAACATGACTATTGAGGGAAGAGTAATATAATAGAGGGGCTGTCTCTTAAACACTCCTGTTTCTCTATATCCACCTGTGGGGCTGCGGATGGAGCTCAAGCGGCAGACTGCAGAGCACACAGAAGCCCTGGGCTTGGTCCCCAGCTCTTAGAAGGTACAGAGAGGAGGATCAGAAGTTCATGGTCATCCTTGATGACACAGTGAGTTCTAGGCCAGCTTAAGCTACACCAAATCCTAGCTCAAAAAAATCTTTTCTGAAAAAAGGCAAAAAGTTGAGCAATGTTGAATATATTTACCACCTGCCCTAGGTTTCTTTCTATTGTTGTGACAACACCATGACCTAAAGCAACCTGGGGAGGGAAGGGTTTATTTGGCTCACATGTCCCACCATAGTCCATCACTGAGGAAAGTCAAGGCAGGAGCTGAAGCAGGGCAGAAACCTGGAGGCAGGAGCTGAAGCACAGACCATGGATTACTGCTTACTGGGTGCTCTGCTTGCTTTTTTATACAACCAGAACCACCTACCAAGGGTTGGAAATACCCACAATGGACTGGGACCACTCACATCTATCATTAATCAAGAAAATGCACCCACAGACTTGCCTACAGGCCAATCTGATGGAGGCAATTTCTCAAGTAAGGTTCCCTCTTCCCAGATGACTCCAGCTTGTTGACAAAAAAAAAAAAAAAAAAATTCAAACCAAACAACAACAAAAAACTGGCCAGCACACTGCCATAGAAGTGTATACTTACAAATAGCTAAAATAATAGTGTATTTGTATCACATTTGTTTTGCCACAGGGCAATCTCACCAGGGGGCTAAGGAACATGAGTTCCAAGTCAGCTGGTGCCATATAGCAGTTAAAAATAAAAAGTTAAAGAGGAAGTTCTTGGGATAGCGATGGGAGTGAACTAACACTAGAAAACACTGGTATACCACTTTTTCAAAATGTCAACTCTGACACATGTATTTTCACAAATTTTGGGGTTAAAAAACAATCAAACACTGTGAAGGATCTCAGCACCCAACAGAGCCCTTCCATCTGAAAATTCCTATTTAATACACACCACCTCTCTGTCTCTGTCTCTCTCAGACAGGGTCTATGTAGCTCTAACTGGTCTGGAATTCAATACATGAACTAGGGTGGCCTCAAACTCATAAACCTTCTGCCTCCCAAGTACTGGGATAAAAGGCATGTACCACCACTCAAGGCTAACGCAATCTTCATTGCTGAATTAATGAGGTTTTGTGAACTACTGTGATTTCAATCCACTTCTCTAAATTGAAGATGGTCTGTTGACAATTCTGACTAGCTCTCCTGTGCCTTAAAAAAAAAAACTTTAAAATATTAGAAACCAAAGTCATCTCTTCAGCATTTGATAGTTTTCTGTAACAGCTCACAAAATTACACCTTTACATCTCAGCAGATATGGAAGAACGGTCTTCTGATTTTCTGGGTTTCGCTGACCTTTACATTCACAGAACTGGACTGTCACAGCAAAGAACGTTTGTCACCCCCACATAAATGTATTGATTACTTCAATGATAACTACTACAAGCTCCTGTGAATTCATCAACGAAAACAGAAGACAGGATCTGGACAAGAAATCCCTTGGCTCCTCAAGCCAGCCAGGTGATTTTTCCCTAAATACTGCTCTATTACTCCCTTGGTTTTTACCTTAAATAATTTTCCTTGCAAAGGACCTATTCCTTTTAGGGTGTATATATTTACATTTGAGCTATTTTAAACACTTCTGAATATATCATAGTTTAGTCATTAATCTCCCTATAAACACAGGGCAAACACTGAAGTAATACATTATTAAGGAGACTTTGGAGAGATTCAAACTTAAAATGTTTTGGTATCACTTATATAATACATTTAGTTCATGAAGTCTGATGCCAGCTGATAAGAAGCAGCATTTTCTAATATTTAGACATATCACAACAATTAAGACTCAAATGTAAACACAAGCAGAAGCTGGCCTCTATAATGTAAAATGTTTTAATGAATTCATGTGTGTCGAATGCCTGCAGAACTATGAGCATCTGAGATTACAGCCTTTCACCACCGGGCCGCCATGCTCAGCCACTGCCTGTGTGCTATACGTATACATATGCACGCCACCATGCTCAGGCACTGCCTGTGTGTGTGCTATACGTATACATATGCACGCCACCATGCTCAGTCACTGCCTGTGTATGTGCTATACGTATACATGTGCATGTGGAGGCCAGAAATGGACACTCTTCCACAGTCACTCTCCATCCACCTTATTTTTTTTAGACAAGGTCTCTTATCAAACCCAGGACTCAATGACATGACAAGACTAGCTAGCATGCCCCAGGGGACCTCCCGTCTTGGCTTCCTCAGAGCTGGGATTATAGGCATGCACCTCTGTGAACAAATTTTTACATGGGTGTTGGTGATCTTAACTTAGGGCCTCATGTTTACCCAACAGTAATTTAGTAAGCCATCTCCCCAGTCCTTAGTTCATTTTTTATGACAATATTATACTTTGATCAGCCTACCTTATTGTATTAGTTGGGGTTCTCTAGACTCTAGAGGAAGAGAACTTACAGAATGAATATATATACATACATGAATTTATATAGAGAATTACATATATAAGAATGAATATATGTGTATATATTATATAGATTTATTAGAATGGCTTATAGGCTGTGATCCAGCTACTCCAACAATGGCTGCCTACAAACTGATAGAGTCCAGTAGTTCAGTAGTTGTCCACGAAGCTGAATATCTCAGCTGGTCTCCAGTGTACACTGGAATTGAAGAAGTGGACTACTTACTAATGAGAGGAAAAGCAAAGAAACTGCTTTATTCCACACCGAGGCTGCCAGCAGAAGGTATGGTCCAGATTAAAGGTGGGTCTTCCTACCTCAAAGATCCAGATTAGGGACTAGAGAAATGGTTTAGCTGTTAAGAGCACTGGCTGCCCTTCCAGAGGTCCTGAGTTCAATTCCCAGCAATCACATGGTGGCTCACAACCATCTGTAATGGGATCTGATTCCCTCTTGTGGTGTGCATGAAGACAAGTCACTCATATACATAAAATAAATAAATATTTAGCCGGGCAGTGGTGGTGGTGCATACCTTTAATCCCAGCACTCAGGAGGCAGAGGCAGGCGGGTCTCACTACTACTAATGTAAACTGTTCCCTGCTGGATGTGTGAAAAAGCCATGCACAGGGGAAAATATGTAAAAACAAATAAGGGGGTCACTAAGGACCCACATAATAGGAGAAAAGGGACTCCTGCAGCCTGTCCTCTGATTTCCACATGTGGCTTGTCCCTGAACCCCTAATCTTCCTGCCTGCACCTCCCAAGTACTGGAGGAGTTCAAGGCATGTGCCACCATCCCGGGCTAGATTATTCATATTTACTATAATTCGCTTTCTCGAGATGTTTACAGCTCACCCCAGTATGTGTGCGCTGCACTGCATGATTTAAAAGAGCCACCTGTCGCAATCACACTTTCCATCCTCATGTGCCCTTACCAATAAGAACGTAATGTCAACGCCCCTCCCTTCCTGACTTAACAAAGGGTGGTCAAGATCTGATCACCCCTCTACATCCCTCTTAACTGCCTTAAACTGCAGAATACTCTACGGTGTTTCGCTGTTGATGCTTTTTCACTTCTGCACGTCTAATAAAGTCCTTCTAAAACTGAGTAGACATCAGCTCCTCTTTCAGGTCTTTTCAGGTTGTACTCTGGTTCTTTTACATCAACCCAGGCCTGGGTTTTAAAGCCTGCTTCTTAGAGCTCTAACTCCTGGAGAAGTACCTCACTGAACTTGCAGCACACACTCATAGCACACCTAGTCCAAGCAAACGAAGCTCAAGACCTAGGGGAGGGGCACGAACGATAAACTCCCCTTAACCCAGAGCTGAGGATGCCGGATTTACAACTGTCTCTACCTGTCCAGGTGAGACAACGCCCTCAACCCTTACTTCTGGGGCCCCGGAAGGAAACAAGGTTTGGGGGGTTTCGCCCCTCCATTCCGTAGGCCGGACGCACTCCGCGTTACTGGGGTCTAGCGACCCAACAACTTGCGTCTGGACATGGGCCATGAAGAGGAGGAAGGTACGTTCTTTAGTGTCAAGGCGATCAAGACAGGTGGAGGGGAGATCTAGGTGGCCCGGTCGAGCCTGGCAGATAGAAGAGGCCCGCAGTGGAGGGCTGGGAACCCCCGGACAGCTCGGGGTGTCGCGCCCGCATCCCCGTGCCCCTCACGGCGCGGCCTAGAGTCGCGGCCTCGCGTCCAGCTCCTCCGTGGAGGCGCGCTCACCCAAGTCCCCGTTCCGGATCAGACCGCCTGCCCGGGGCCGCCACGGCGCTACTCACCCGGCCTTCCGAGACGATTCTGCCCATGGGCCACGGCGGCGGCAGCGCGGAGCCCGGCCGCCCTGCGCGGAAGCCCGCCGACCGCCGGAGCCCGCCGCGGCGCCGACCCTCCGCCGATTCCGCAGGGTGATCCACCGCGCGGGGTAAGAGAGCGGAGGCTGCCGGGAGCACACGTCTGCGCCTGCGCGTGACTCGCGGGCGCAAAGAGGCACGGCCCAGCTCGCACTGCACCCTGCTGACCGGAGGACTACACTGCACCGCCCCTCCGCCTGCCTCTTATTTCACCAAGAGATGTCGCTATTGGTGCAAGGTTTTGAAATTACATAGGGTTCAAGACTTAAGAGTAAGAGCGATGAGAATCCCCTATTAGGCTCTAGCTATTCATTCCCAACCACTCTTCTATAAACTAAAAGCTGGGAGTGAATCTCTGTAGGCGGTACGTTGCAGAATAGCATTGAAAAACACGCTGAGATTAGGGCTTCAGAGGAGAAGGTAAATACTATTAACCTTGCCCGCTCAAAAAAATGAAGCCAGCCGGGCGGTGGTGGTGCACGCCTTTCATCCCAGCACTCGGGAGGCAGAGGCAGGCGGATCTTTGTGAGTTCGAAGCCAGCCTGGGCTACAGAATGAGTTCCAGGAAAGGCGCAAAGCTGCAGAGAATTCCTGTCTCGAAAAACCAAAAAAAAAAAAGTGTTCAAATAATTCTGAAAGTTTGAAAACTGGCAAAGATGTACCACTTTATGGCAGATAAATAAAAAGAAAACAGATACTTAAACTGCAGAATACTGTACGGTGTTTCTCTGTTGATGCTTTTTCACAGTGTGTACAGGCTGATTTCTGGACAAAAGTTTTAAATGAAATTTTATAAACACAATTCCTAATGAAAAATAATGGAAAATCTATGCACCAGATAGCATAATCTCATTATTTATAGCAAACACTGTAGGAAAGAGGAATTGGTGCGTTCTCTCTCTCTCTCTCTCTCTCTCTCTCTCTCTCTCTCTCTCTCTCTCTCTCTCTCTAACACACACACACACACACACACACACAGAATAGTTGAGATTTTGTTTTTGTGGGGCTGGAGAGAGCAGTTAAGAACACTGGAAGCTCTTCCAGAAGACCTTGGTTCACTATCCAGCACCTCCAGGGCAGTTCACAACATCTTTAACTCCAGTCCCAGGTGATCCAATGGCCTCTGTGAGCAACAGGCACACAGGTGTCGCATAAACTTAGATGTAGACCACCCATACTCATAAAGTAAAATACATTTTAATTGAGATTTTAAAATAAAATTAATTTGTTAGGTCTAATATGTAGACTTTCATCTTTTTTGTTTTTTTTAACTTTTTGTTTGTTTGTTTGTTTGCTTGTTTGTTTTGGTTTGTTTTGGTTTTTTGAGACAGGGTTTCTCTGTGCATCCCTGACTATCCTGGAATTCACTTTGTAGACCACTAGGCTGGCTTTGAATTCAGATATCTGCCTGCCTCTGCCTTCCAAATGCTGGGATAAAGGCATGTGCCACTGTAACACGAATCTTAAAAGGTCTCATTAATAAAAACAAACCTGAAGCCAGGTGTTGGGGTGAATGCTGGAAAATCAGAGAAACAGAAGAAGTCACAGGTACCTCACCTCACCAACTTCTCAGCTGATCCTGTTTCCTCAAACTGGAAGCCTCTGAGTCCTCTTCCAGAATGAATCTCAGCTTAGCTGCTGCCAAAAGCCTAAAAGCTTAACCAGCTCTATTTCCTAGTCCTCACACCTTATATACCTTTCTGCTTCCTGACATCACTTCCTGGGATTAAAGGCGTGTGTCATCATGCCTGGCTGTTTCCAGTGTGGCTTTGAACTCACAGATATCCAGACAGATCTCTGCCTTTGGATGCTAGGATTAAAGTTGTGTATGCCACCATTTTCTGGCCTCTGTATCTAGTGGTTGTTCTGTTCTCTGACCCCAGATAAGTTTGTTAGGGTGCACAATATTTTGGGGAACACAATATCACCACATGCCACCATGCACAGCTTTTTAAAAACTTTTGTTTTGTTCTATTTCTAGCTTCGTACATAGCCTCTTAGATCAATGAACTTATTTCAAACTTTCAGTGAACACAAAGGTTTTTAAATGAGAATTTTCTTCTCATTTAAAAATAAGGGACAAAGGCTGGTCAGTGCTGGTGCACGCCTTTAATCCCAGCATTAAGGAGGCAGAGCCAGGCAAATCTCCGTAAGTTCGAGACCAGCCTGGTCTACAGAGCAAGATTCAGGACAGACACCCAAAATACAGAGATAAACCCTGTCTCAAAAAAAAAAAAAAAAAAACAACTACCTCCCCCCAAAAAAAACCCCAGAACTCGGGAGGCAGAGGCAGGCGGATCTCTGTGAGTTCAAGGCCAGCCTGGTCTCCAAAGTGAGTTCCAGGAAAGGCTCAAAGCTACACAGAGAAACCTTGTCTGGGGGGGGGGGCGGGGGGGGGGTGCAATATGAGAGAGGTGAGCTGCAGAGCAAGTGTACAAAGGAACCCCAACACAAAGAAGTCCTGTGAATTTTTCTAGCATTGTTCAGCAGCCTGGAGTCCGGACACAGGAAGCAAATGGTAGTATTAATAAAAAAAAAAAATAGGACATTAGTTAATCCAAAACAAAATGTTAGCAGGGCAGATGCTCCAGAAGAAAGCAAGACCAAGGGGGCATTTGGGGCCAGAAGGGAAAAGGGTAGATCAAATGCTCTGGCATAAAAAATGGACAGAAACAGGCTGGTGTGAAGGGAGAGAACAAAGGGGTGGGTGCTCCCAGAGGAAAACAACTTTATGGTGATATTTTATTTGTGCTGAAATGTGATTTTATTTGTATGTTAATAAATAAAGTTGCCTGGAGACCAGAAGTAAAAGCCAGCCATTAAGCAGAAGTCCCATGGTGATAGCACACACCCTTAATCCGGATCACATGGCGGGCAGAGTCTCTGTGTGGTCAAGGACACAGCCAAGCTGTGGTGACCCGAACCTTTACTTCTAGTACCAACCATAGAGACCTGGAGGTCTATATAGATAGGCAGTGACAAGGAAGTCATGTGGTTGGGTTTACAACCAATGAGAAGGCAGAACAAAAAGGCAATTAAAAAGACAAGTCGAACAGGAAGAAGGTCTCCCCCTCTCTCTCTCTCTCTGTCTTTCTGTCTCTGTCTCTCTCTCTCTGTCTCTCTGTCTCTCTGTCTCTGTCTCTCTCTGTCTCTCTCTCTGGAAGCGACGGCAGTGAGGTGGCCAGATAAGGTAGTTGTGGTTCTTGCTCTGATCTCTTTGGCTATTACCTCTGTATTTGGCTCTGTGTATCTTGTTTACTAAGACTGTTTAGAATTTCATCTACACAACTTAGTTAAGGTGAGAATTTGCTTAAACTTATAATTTGACTATAACTTTGTGTGGTGAGTATAATGATATTTTTGTTGTTGTTTTGAGACAGGGTCTCTCTATGTAGTCCTCGTCTGGACTTGAACTCACAGAAATCCTCTTGCCTCTGCTTCCCAAAGGCTGGAATTAAAGGCATGTGCAACCATGCCCGGTTAGTGATACTACTGATATCAAGTCATGAAGGATAATTTTTGTTTCCTGGAGTATATCTTTTTTATGCATGTAGCATATTTTTGTCACTTTTTATTTTTTATAGGACAACTAAAACAGATTTTATTCCTTTTTTTTTTAGGACAAGGAAAACACAATATAAAATAAGTCCTAAGAAATGCTCTCCTGTGCTATCTTAAACCATTTTGACTGTTGTTCAAAATGCTCGCAAAGCAAATATGAAAGACCTCAACATGTCTTGGAAATTCTGCTGCACTAAATGCAAAATTCATAAGTATACAACTTTTTTTCTGTACCAATTTTAAAAGAATTACTGAGTTACATATTATTATGTTGCTCATATACATGTTTATTCACTCTTAATGAGATCACTGCCAATACATACATTGTTTTCCTTAACTTTATTTTTATATTAAGCTAATGTGCAGCTATCAAAAATGTCACAGTAAATTACACAGATCTGTAGTCCAATTTGGACTCTAGGTTCTTAGAATCAGCCACTCTTCTGAATGCTTTCGGGAAGTCTTCCTGAACTACAAACTCATGATCGGCATGAATTGCAAATATACGTGCTTCGGTTCAAACATTTCTCAGGTCTGATCCATTAAAACCATCTGCAAGTTTTACAACCACTTCATAATCTATTTCACTGTGCTTTGTAATAGGGCCTGCATGGATTTCCAATATATCAATTGTGTTTGTTCATTTGGTAAATCTATATGTGCTTTTCTATCTAATCTTCCTGAATGTAGCAAAGCAGGATCCAGTGTATCTGGTAGTTTGTAGCCATGACCATTTTAACTCTATGCAGATTATCAAATCCATCCATTTAATTTAGTAACTCCATTGAATTTCTCTGTTAACTGATGTACCCTCAGAAAACCGATGGCCACCAACAGCATCTATTTCATCGATTAAAAAAATCATGGCTGGTGGTCCCTGGAATAAACATTTCTCTAATCAAATGACCACCTTCACTAATGTACTTGTCTACAAAGAACTAGATACAGTCTTTAGGAAGTTGCAGTCCAGGTGGCTGGCAACAGCTCTTGGCGAGTGTTTTCCCAGTGCCTGGTAATCCATAAAGCAAACAGCCTTTTGGAGTATCATTCCTACATACTGGAATAATTTTGGGCTTGTAAGAGGTCATTCTATTACCTCTTCTAATTCTTGAATCTGGTCTCAGAATAAGAAACACTTCCAGGATCCTCATGAGACATGTTGTAAACCAACAGGTCCACCTCTCTTGGCAAATACCTCATGATGCTTAGTGTGTCGCATCCAAAGCAACTCTCGTTCCTGGCTTCAGCTCACTTTTATCAAGCTGCCAACGATAACTATGACATACGTTGGTCCATTTGTTGCTTTAACAGTGAATTTTTCTTCTGTTAACTGTTTAAGCACTTCACCCACCATCTGCCCAGCACGTTGTAGTGCCTTCAGATCATTTTCAGACTTTTCACACCGCTTGGTAAGTTCTAATTGTTCCCTAAGCTCTTAAAGGCGGCAGTCAGGCTCCTTGCGTTCTAGCCGCTTCTTGTAGTAGTCCGGAAGTGCCTCATCGCTAGGGTGTGGTGATATTGTGTTCCCC